AGAGGTGAAAAGTAACGGGATAGAAACATATACAATATAAACATTAATTAAACGGTGCCTATGACTTCCCAGGTGGCGTTAGCAGCAAAGAACCTGCCAGCCAATGCAGGAGACCTGGGTTCAATCCCTGGGCTGGGAAGATCCCTTGGAGGAGGGCATGGCAACCCACTCCAGTGTTCTTGCCTGGAGAATCCATGGACAGAGGAGCCTGGCGGGCTACAGTCCACGGGGTCACAAAGAGTCGGCACAACTGAAGTGACAGCACGACATAGCACATACCAATATGAGACAAAGTAGATTTCAGAGCTAAGAAAATTTCCAGAGGTAAAGAGGAACATTATGCAAAAATAAAACAGGCAATTCACCAAGAAGACACAACAGTCCTAAATGAGTGTGCACCTAACTACAGAGTTTCAAAATACATTAAGTAAAAATGACAGAACTAAAAGAGAACTATACAAATTGACAGTTGTAATTGAAGACTTCAGTACTATCCTTTCAATAACTGAAATAACTAGTGGACAAAAATCTGCAAAGATACAGAAGATCTGAACAGCAGTATCAACCAACAGTATAGAATTGATATTTATGTAGCATAACTGAACAATAGAAAACACATTATATTCAAGTGCACATGAAGCATCAACCAAGATAGACTGTACTCTGAGTCAAAAAACAAACCTTAAGACATTGAACAGAATTGAAATTATATTGTCCTCTGACCCTAAAAGAATTAAACTAGAAGTCAATAAAAAAAGGACAACATGAAAATCTCTAAATACTTTAAAATCAAACAAAGCAATCCCAAGTAATCCTTTGATCAAAGAGAAGTCTCAAGAGAAATTATTAAATATCGAGAAATTAGGAAATATTAGAAAACTATGTAAAATGAGAATATAATATATCAAAATGTGTGGGTTGCTCTCAAGGATTAGAGGGGAAAGTAGAACATTAAATGTTTATAATAGAAAAAGATTTTCTATTTTCAAAACAAAAGATTATTGTTAAGCTTCAAATCTAACAAACTAAGAAAAGACCAAAATAAATGTAAAGAGTTAATATAGGAGCAAAAATAATATTGAAAACATAGAAACAATTTAGAAGAACAAATAATCCCATAAGCTGGTCCTTTGAAATGATGAATTGATCAGAATTCTTGCAATACTGACAAGAACAAAGGCAGAGACAAAAAAGAGAGAATGCACAATTCTGATATCAGAAACAAAAGAGGGTTGTCAATACTTGCAAACATTAAATGGATGGTAAAGGGAATGCTCTGAACTCTGGACCCAGATGATTTCATTGGCAAATTCTACCAAAAATTTAAAGAAAAAATAGCTTCTATTCTACAAAAATAACTTTCAGAAAATAGAAGAAAAAAAATCACTCAACTTCTTTCATGAAGCCAACGTTACATTGATACTCAAATCCAGACAAAGACAGTACTAGAAAACTGCAGATCAAAATCCCGTATGAATATATGTCCAAAAATCCTTAACAAAATATTAGTGGATGAATCCATATTTAGATATAGATATATCACAACCAAGTGAAGTTTATTCCTGGAATTCTAGGATGGTTCTATAGTCAAAAATCAATCAACATAATTCATAATATTAACAGCTTAAAGAAGAAAAACTACATAAAAGTCTTATCAGCTGATACATTAAAAAGCATTTAAAAACATTTAGCATTCTTCCATGACAAACTCCCAATAAGCCAGGGTCAGTAGGGGATTTCCTCATCCTGACAAAGGTCAGATAAAAAAAGAAAACAGTCCTACCACTAACTTTACACTTAATGGTGAAGCTATTGCTTTTACCCCAAGATTCCCTTGGAGAAGAAGATAAGGATGTCCACTCTCTTGTCTCCTGTTAAACACTGTACTGGAAGCTCTAGTCAGGGCAGGAACCAGCAATCAGACTGAGAAAGAAAAAATAAAGCTCTTTGTATTCATAGACAACATTACTGTCTACACATAAAACCCCAAGAAATACATAGAAAAAAAACCTCTTAGAACTGACATGTGAGTTTAGCAAGTTTGTAAGATACAAAATCAATATATAAAGACCAATCCTAGAGTAGAAGTCAACAATAGCAACTGAAATCAAAATAAGAATACCATTTGTAAGAGCAGCAAAACATGAACTATTTAGCTGTAAATTTAACAAAATATGTGTAGGACAAGCATATTGAAAACCCAAAATGCCATTGAAATCAATCAAAGGACTAAATAAATGAAGAGACATACTGTATTCATCGATTGGAAAACTCAGTGTAGTGAGCTTATCTGTTCTTCCCAGGTTAACCTACACATTTAATGCAATTCCAATATAAATCCCAGATGTATTTTGTGTGTGAGCATATATAAATATATAATATATATAAATTAAAAAACTTACATGGAACAGGAAAACTAGAATAGCCTAAATGATTTCCTTTTGCGTTCTGTTTTAAACTTTTTATTTCATATTGGAGTTTAGCAGATTAAAAGTGTGATAGTTTCAGGTTGACAGCAAAGGGACTCAACCATACACATAAGTGTATCCATTCTTCTCCAAACTCCTCCGCCACCCAGGCTGCCACGTGACACTGAACAAAGTTCACTGTGCTGCGCAGTGTCTCCTTGTTGGTGGTCCATTTTAAATATAGCAGTGTGTACATGTCCATCCCAGACTCCCTAACCATCCCTTCCCTCCATCCTTCCTCCTGGCAACCATACATTCCTTCTCTAAGTCTGTGAGTCTGTTTCTATTTTATAAATAAGTTCATTTGTATCCTTTCTTTTTAGAGTCCACGTATAAAGGATCTCATATGATATTTCTCCTTTGTCTGACTTACTTCACCCAGTATGACAATCTTTAGGTCCATCCATATTGCTGCAAATGGCATTATTTCATTCTTTTTAATGGATGAGTAGCCAAAATGATTTTGAAAAAGAATAATAAAGCTGAGGGTATCATACTATCCAATTTTGCAACTAAGACAGTAGGCGATTGGCAAAGATAGATGTGTGAATCAACAGATCAGAACAGAATAGATAGTCTGGAAATAGACCCAAACAGTCAAGGCCAAGTGATTTTTGGCAGAAATTCAAAGGCAATTCAGTGGAGAAAAGCTAGCCTTTTGAACAAACACGACACCAAAAGCACAATCCTTTTAAAAAATGGATAGATCGGGCTTTATTGAAATGAAAACCTTTTGGTCTGTTAAGAGAATGAAAAGGCAAGCTTAGAGTGGCAGAAAATGTTTTCAGGTTATGAACCCAACAAAGGGCTTATATCCAACAGCTAGCACTCAAAACTCAGCAGCGAGAAGATAGCCCAATGATACATGAGCGGATGGGTCACTGAGGGGACATAGAGCTGGGAATGCAGATTAAAACCCCGAGAGGTTCCATCGTGCATCTAAATGACTGAAGTGAGAGATGATGGCAGCACTCAGTGCAGAGGAGGTTGTGTCTGCATCACTCACATCTCCACTGGGGCTGAAGGATGGACCCCCACTCTGAACATGTGGGTGGTTTCTTAGGGTTTAACATGGCCATTCCACTCGATCTACGTGGGGAAATGAAAACTTATGGTCACCCTCAAGCCTGCATGAACATTTACAGAGTTGTACTCATAACTGACAAAAATTCAAAACAACTCAAATTTTCTTCACTGTGTGAAGAGATAACAAACTGATCCATCCACACCATGAACACTCCTGGGCAGTGAGGAACGATGATGCTGCCAACTAAAAGCTGTCCCTTGCGTCTGCTTCTATAAGGATTAAGTCATAAGATGCTGCCGCTATGGACCTTCAACACCCGTTGAAAGAAGTTCAGTGTGGAGTGAGGCAGTCTGTGCTCTGGGAAAAACTGGAAGAACAGGCCCTTCAGATAGTTAGATATTTTCAGGACAAGATTTATGAGCTCAATTCTTGCATCTGCTAATGTTTAGAAAAGCACTAAAGTATGAATGATGACAACTATTTGTGACTAGCAGCAACAGTCTGCAAAAATGTGTGCTTGATTGCATGTACCCCTCTTTCACCAAAATCATACATGCTGAACTTCCCCCCAGCTCTTCAGAGAAGCTCCTCAGAGAAGCTCCTCAGAGCTATCTGAAATGCTGTCTCCCAAGCTATAGTCCTCATCTTGCCCCAAGTAAAACTTAAACCCCCACGCTGTGTTTTTCTTTCAACTGATAAGGCTGACCCACAAAGCAATGAGGATACCTTGCACAGTTTTTCTGCTGAGTGAGTGAAAGAATCCAGATTTGGAGGTTACCTGCTGTATCCTTCCATGTGTGATGAAAGTAAGCACGATGGAACTAGGGGGAAGGTCAGTGCATGCAGCTTTGGAGGAGGTGGAGTGTGGCTACAGGGGGGTTCCATTGGGAGTTTGGATCCGGATTGTGGCGATTACTCAAATCTACACACGCATGTTAAATTTGCTAGACACGCCCACTGTTGGAAGGTCAGTTCTGTCATCTGTTACTGAAAACATCAACCACACACCTGCATAGTACAGTAGGAGTGCCCAGTGTCAGATGGAAAGCCCCAGCTGGGGACCACCATGGGGGTGCTCCAAGGAGAGCGTGCCAGGAAGCCAAGGTGAGATCTTGGTGAGATCTGCCCAGCAGGGCCCGTGGGGCTGTCACATGGGGCTGGGGTGCCTCCAGCAGCTGGTTCCCATGGCTCCAGGCCCCCCTGACCCCACTCTTGTTGATGGGAAGCAGGCACCCGCATCTTGTGGGAGGCAGGCTGGGAGGCAGCCCAGTGTCTGCCCGACACCAGGGTCCTGCACCCTGGAAAGCCCCGGGCTGCAGCTGGGGGTGGGGGCCCCTCATTCTGAACTGTTAGCTGGAGGAAGTGTTTGATTCATTTGACAGGAATATCATACTTTGAGGGGGTGTGGGTGGAAAATGCTTGGGAAGCAAACAGCGGAAAACGGAGGCCACAGCCAAGAGCAGCACTTCTGCAGTGTGGCCCCTCGAGGGCACCTCTGTTCTCAGGAGTCCAGGCCCTTCAGCCCACAGGGCTCCCCGGAGGCGGCCACCGTGCTGGCATCGGGGGCACTGGGGCTGCGCAGCCCCCTCGCTCGGAGCTGCAACTCTCCTGCGGGGCCGGTCTCTGCCCAGCCCGGCTGATCCGGCCTGGTGGCCTTGCCTGAGCACAGCCACTACCTGTAGATCAAAGGATGGTCCCCAGCATTGCCGACACCCCAGGGGGGATGTGGAGTAGCTGGGAGCCGGGCGGAAGTCTGCAGCTTCCTGCTCGTCAGGAGCAAGGTGCTCTATGCCCTTGAACATGCGTGTGCTCAGTTGATTCAGTTGCCTCCGACTCTGCGACCCTGTGGACTATAGCCCACCAAGCTCCTCTGTCCATGGGATTCTCCAGGCAAGAATACTGGAGTGGGTTGCCATGCCCTCCTTCAGGGGATCTTCCCCACCCTGGGATGGAACCCGCATCACTTAATGTCTCCTGCATTGGCAGGCAAGTCCTTCACCACTAGTGCCACCTGGGAAGCTTGCACAGCCTCACTCTATCATGTCTTCATAAGTAGAGCTGACCTGTGGTGTGGACTGTGCCAGCACCAGTGTAGGCAGAAGGGGCTCAGTGGTGTTACTGGACGCTGTGCAGACCATGTCCTTCACGATCCTGTTATTGAGCACCTGTTCTAGTCAGGCCTTGTTAGCTGTGTCTGCACTCCCCACCCTACAGGATATGTGGGGCAGGTACACACAGCTGTTGGGAAATCTGATGTGCTGTCCTCTGCAAGGCACCCTGGGCTCCCTGGAGGGCCAGGAGAGCCATGTGCATCGAGCTGCTGACATTGTGCTCTGAGCCTCCTCCTGCGTGGGTGCTGCGTCAGAAGCACACCCCCGCTCCCTTTCCTGCGGTGTCGGACGCTGTCTCCAGATGGACGCCTGGCTGTGGAAGCTCTGTGCCCTGCCCTAAAAGCCACCGACTGCAGCACCGGCTTGAGTTGAGTTCATCCACCTCAAACCCGGGCCCGTGTTTACACAACAGAAGATTTTCTCCTCCACGTCCTGTTCCTGCAGCTCATGGCCTCTTGCCCAGGACAGTGATGCCGAGGGTAGGGAGGCCCTCAGAGGGGCTGGAGGAAAGAGGGACCCTCCCGACGCCCTGCTGGTTGGAGGGGCTGCCTGCTGGAAGCCCTGGGGACCTGGCTCTGGGGTGGAGGGTGCCTTTCTCGGCACCCCGGGGCCCCGGGGCCCTAAAGAGGCTGCCAGGGCGGGGAATCCCAAAATCAAGGTGGGAACTGGTGTCTGGAAGCCCCTCAGCCAAGCACGGGTTGAGCCTCTGTGTGAGTTGTTTCTGTGATTGTTGCGGCAGCCACGGGCTCAGTCCCTGCTTCCAGGAGGGACGGTTTACGGTGCAAGGGGGCCTGGCCTGGCCCAGGTTGAGAGCTGGGGTACAAATTCTTAAGTCCAGGCCTCAGCAGACCTTGGCCTTAATTTTATTTTGCCTCTCGTGGGACATTAACTCTGGAAAGTTCTAGAAGGCTCCTCACTACTGGAGGTGGGCCCCGAGGCCCAGCAGCCCCCACTTCACCTGGGCACTTGTTAGAAATGTAGTCTCGGGTCCACCCCAGATTTCTTCATCAGAATCTGCATTTTAGCTAAATCCCAGGAGACTCACACCCACCTCAGTGTGGGAAGCGCTGGCTTAGTCCAGCCTCTCACCTGATGGAATTCCAGCCCCAGCTCCTGGGTCTGCCCACTCTGACCTCCTGTCTGGCCCAAACCACTGGCTTGGATCTTAAACGGAAATGTGAAATAATGCTTTGGGCTTGATGCTAAATTTGATTGACAGGCATTGTTTTGCTCTTAGAAAGATGAGTGAGGCACAGCTAACTCCTGCCCACATAGGTTATAACTTGCATGTAAATAACAAATTACAAGGTACAAAATGCTGGAGTCCTTAGAGGAAACTCAGAGGGGAAATGGTGCCTGGAGGAGCCGGGACCCAGGAAGCCTGGCTGACGTCCCAACTCGGGGAGACATGACAGGTTGTGGGGAAGCGGTGTGGTCTTGGGACCAGTCTTGGACCCACGGGTCCTGGACCCGCGCAGGCCTGGGGCCAGGGCGGGCAGTGCTCTGTGCCCAGGTGGGGGCAGGGGCAAGCTTGTGGGCAGGTGAGGAGGACAGCCATGTGGGGGTCCCCTGGGATGAGGGGCAGGGGACAGATGCTGTGAGGATGTGGGGTCAGGAGAGAGGACCCCCAAGCTGGCACAGGTGAGCCATAGGTCGGCATCCAGACACTCTCAGGGGCTGGGAGGGCCCTGGGGGGCGTGCTCTGAAGCACGGTTGGCAGGAGACTCCAGACACACGTGACCTGCAGTCTGCCTTGACCACTGGCTCGAGGTGGAGCCCCGAGGGCAGCGCGGGCCGAGTGAGAGAAGTGCGCGGGAGGTGCTGCTGAGAGTCTGAGTTTGGAGAACTTCGGGGCTTGGGGACTGAAGCTGGGCTGCAGGAGGCCCAGAGCGGGGTGGCCGGTGCAGCAGAGGTATCGGCTGAGCCATGGGCCTGCCTCGTCTCAGGTGCGAGCCCAGGGCACGGTGACCAGCAGAGCCCCAGGCCCACCAGGGGCAGCAGTGCGGGGCCGGAGGCCTGCCTGTCTCAGCATCACTGCGTCTGGGCGTTTCGGGGATGCCCCCGGCTCAGGGTCTGTCTGGAGCCAGCTCCTCTGCGAGGGACGCTGGCCCACACCCACAGGGTGGGGGCTCTGGTCCCTGGGGAGCTGCTGTGCCCAGGCTGGCCCGAGTGTGCACCTGCGTCCACACCTGCATCTCCGCCTCCACACGTGACGTTTGCTTCCCCAGGTGCCCGCGAGGTTTCAGCTGAGCAGGCTGCAGGTCTCAGAGGTGCGGCTGTGAGTGGCTGACACCAGAAGCCATTTTGCCCCAATGGAGAGTGAGGGGTAGTGACTGTGGAGGTTTGCATGGGTGGGTGCTCACACCCAGGCGGCCCTCCTGCCCCTCCCGATCACGCTGCTCTCCCAGCTCTGCCGGCGTATTTCACTCACCACACGTGTCTACACCGTCAGCACTGCTGAGGGCTCTGGCCCCCCTGCCCACCTGCCTGGCCCCCTGGAGGGCATCAGTCCGGGTCAGGACCCTCCAGGGGCTGGGCGATTGCTGTTCCTGTGGTGGGGGTGGGGTTTCTGGTTTGCAAAAGCTTGTTTAACATTAGACATCATTCTGTATTGCGGAAAAAGCAAAAATTGACCTTTTCTAAGGAAACAACAAAACCCTGTTGGCTGTTTTGAGACTTCCAGGAAACAGGAATCTCCTCCTGACGTATCCAGGCCTCAGAGCAGAGGCTTCTCCACGAGGCTGTCCCCAAAGGCTGGTGTTCAGGAAGCAAGGCCCAGCCTGGGAGGAGGAGAAGGGCCCTCGGGTCTGCTGGAGGCCAAATCCCATGAAGTGGGCACCTGAGAGCCGGGCTCGGCATGCGCGCTTCTCTCGCCACACTCGTCAGCCCCTCTGGCTGGGCCCTCGCACGCCTGGGGGCTCCCAGCTGGCGGCCCTTGTAAGCACCCCCACCCCAGCCACCTGTCTGCATTGCAGCCGATGGCCACTCCCCTCAGGCTCCTTGACCAACCCGTCCAAGGTGGGAGGCTGTTTGCCGCTGACCAGGAGGACGGGAACTTGCCTGTGCATTTAGCTTCTTTCCACCAAGCCTCTGAACCCAGCGAGGTGATTCATGTCACAAGGCCAGTCGATCTTCTGATTTGTTGCAATTCTTACATTGAGTGGTTGCAGACACAGCAGTTCCGTCCAGAGGCCGTTCGCCGCTCAGTCGCCCCTGCAGCTGCAGGAATCTGGGCTGCCTGGAATTGTTGCCCTGGGTGACGAGGGGGACTGTGTCATCGCAGCCACCCCTCTGGGGAGGGTCTAGGACAAGTAGGCCCAAGCTGCATGACCTCTGATTAGCGGCAGCCTGGGGCCACAAGGGGCTGTTTGGATTAACGGCTGGATTGGTGTTTCACCTTCATCCAGATGAGTCTCCACCTCTGTGTGTTTGTTATGGGCCCCCTGCCAGCCGGCCCTTATGCTGACTCTTCCTTCAATTGGCAGACCCCTTGCCCCCTCCTGATGCAGCTCAACCTTCCACATAATCCCAGGAATGCTTAGGGTTTTTCCTGTAGATTCCACAAGGAAGCATCTCCATATACAAGCGTCTCTTTGAGTCCCACCTCCTGGCAGCCAGGCAGGGAATGAAGCAGGCCTGGTTCCTTTCCAGTTCTCCAGAGACTGGGTCTGCAGGTGGGTCTTGTGAGGAGTTCTCCAGATGTTTGGTCTGCGGGAGGGTCTAGTGTGGAGGTCTTCAGAGGTTTAGTCTGTGGGAAGGTTTGGTCTGTGGGAGGGTCTGGCGTGGAGTTCTCCCGAGGTTTGGTGTGAGGGAAGGTCTTGTGAGGAGTTCTCCAGGGGTTTGGTGTGTGGGAGGGTCTGGTGTGGAGTTCTCCAGAGGTTTGGTCTGTGGGAAGGCCTAGCACGATTGTTGATGAAACTCCCATTCCTTGCACAGACACTAGAGCGGGCAGGCAGGGCTCCTTGAGCTTTTATCTTAATCTTCATTACCTCAGTTCTCCCTGTGACCTGGCAAACCACTCAGGCTCTGCTTCCCGACTGGAGCATGGCAGGTGTGCGTTCTCGCAGAGCTGCTGTGCTCGTGAAATGAGGCCCTGGTTCCGACAGTTAGTCAAAACAAGCTGTGGAGGTGTGACTGGTCACAGCACTTGAGGCTGAGGCAGTGATCAGTGATCAGAAGAGCCACTTGAATAAAGATGACCTTAAATCCCACGTTTCCAAAGCAGAGAAAAGGTGAGCGGGCAGGTGTGGAGCCATCTGCGGCACGGGCAGCACTCTTGACAGGTGCCTCGTCACCCCTTCACCCTCGGGCGGGCGCCGTGTGTGTCCCGGCCAGAAGGAAGCCGGTCAGGGGCAGCAGCAGCCAGACCCCCGCCCCCCACACCCCGTGTGTGCCTGCTGTCGACTCCCACCCCCACCCCTGCGCGGGTTGCTGCCCGGAGCCGAAGTGGAAGTGCTGTCCGGGCCCTCCCGCTTTGACTCTCCCCTCTGACCAAGCCCTCACCTCGGGGCCCCACAAGAGGAAGCCCC